GGAACGACTCCTTCTCAATAATCGTCGTCTGCGCTATTTCCTGGCCAGGAAACACCCCCCATGTCACCGCATTCCGAGCATTTTCTGGCACATTTCCTCGGAATTCGCCCTAGACAATGTCAGTTTAGGTCTTCATCATATCATTAGCACCACACACCTTGTTATCACCCGCGAACCAATGCACCCAGCCTCTGCCTTTTTGCTCCACCTGTCGCTCGATAGCCTCCACATCGTCCTTGGTGCCGAAGAATTCCACAAATCCTTTCTGGAATACATACCCCGATCTGGGACCCCAGCCTAGTACTTCGTCACCGGAACTCGCACCATCTACTGCTGGTTGTGACCCAATCGTCCACCACCCTCGCTTTGTCAACTTCTCCAGATGCGGTAGAATCATCTGCGACTCCGGTGACAGTGGCGTCGGTGAGAATGGTGTGGTAGGGATCTTAGAGTGGAGATGGTCAAGGAATAATTGGGTCAGATCGTCCAGGGACTTGGGATAGCCCCATTGGTTGATCGCGTCACTTCGCTGTTGAATATTTCATTGTGAATCCCAAGATTGTGCTTAACATAACATACGATTGCGGGACCTCCCCATGGGTCCTGGTTCCCAAAAGCAGGACTCTTGAAGTCTCCGAAACGGCCATTTGGGAATTCATCCCAGGTAGCAGCATTGTTGAGTTCACCTCGTACAGCCTCGACTCCTGTCGCAGGATCTTTCACCAATCCAAGTGCTGCAGTGTTTGTTGCAGTGATCGGAGAGACCAGGAAAGACGACGCATCGATCGACTCGGGCGGGTGGATGATGTCGCCTCCGGTTTCCTGTGCAAATCAGCTTCCTTCAGGAATGGTGCTCGATTAAATACATACCGCAATGAGTTTGTTCTGATTAGAACTCGTCACGCCTGTCCATTGGAGGAGCTCCAACACGCGCTGGACACTCTTCTCGAGGTTAAGCGTGCAGAAATGGATACCTGGGACGTCCCCCTCCTTCGTTATGCGCTGGATCATTTCGACGGCCAATTTCACACCATAGTCCTTGATTGATTGATCGTCGTTCTGTCGATTCTGAGTTCAGATATGGCTCTAGGTGTGAATTACGGGAGAACGTACACTGATGGGTGCAAGGGCATCCATTATGTGTTGCGGAACTCTCGTCCCACATAGTTTCGTTAAACGAAGGAAGGAGGAATATGTCTGGATTGGCATTATTCCAGGGATGACGGGTACCGTAATGCCTGTCCTTGGAAATGAGGATGCCATGGCTTTCAGGCAGGTCAAGGTTGAAAGCTTACCTTTCTCCCTGACTTTCTTCAGCCATTGGAGAAATCGGTCCACGTCGTAGAAGAGTTGGGTGACGATAAAGTCTGCTCCAGCGTCGACCTTCTCCTTCAAAAACGTAAGTTCGGCGTCTTCGTCTAAATGACTATCAGTGTGCCCGTCAGGATACGCTATATGTAGAGAACAATCTCAGAGACGGAGGAAGAGGGTTGAATGGCAAGATATGACCTGCTACTCCAATGCAGAACTGTGTTGAGAATTCAGGTGAAGACCGGATAAATTTCACGAGATCTATGGCATGTTGGAAGCGCGGATCTACGGGAATCCACTCCTCTTGTCCTCGTGATGGGTCTGTCGAAATATAATCCAACCTGTGGCCAAGGAACACCTTCACAGAAAATAAACTCACCTCCTCGTAAAGCAAGGATATTCTGGACTCCGCATGCTTTTGCCGACTTGGGGCTCGGTAGGTCATGCATTCATGGAAAGAAGAACCTTACGACTTACTCTTAGCGCGTCATTGACCGTCCCCTGTTCCATATTCGTGCATGTCAGATGCATGACCGTGTCCACCCCATACTCCGTTTGCGTCAGACTGGCTAATTCGAGACTTCGCTCCCTCGTCGACCCGCCGGCGCCCCATGTAATGCTGATCGCAAGTGGATCAAGTGCTGCTAGTCGTGAGATTCGTGAGATCAAGTTCTCAAAACCCTTGACATGGCGAGATAAGCATGAAGTAGTAGTAAATCAATTCATCAGGGGATCAAGTGACATACGAGATCAGTGCGTGGAGGAAAGAATTCGAAGGTGTAGAACGGATGCGGCGACTTGTTGTCCGCGATCTTGTCGATGAGCTTCATGCCTGAGTGCGAGAAGTGGCGGGGAATAGAGCTGCTTGTAAGTAATGGGGAGAACGCAAATCTGAATCTGGACACGCGCCGATCGACCTAGCTCACGTGATTTACCGCCGGCAAATACGTGACGTGACTATCACAGCCTGGAGTACAGTGCGAGCAGCATCGCTGTCCTCGTCGTTCTCCATAATGGATGCACCATCTACACCAGTTTCGGCAGACTTTTCTTCGTCGCCTCCGAAGAGGACAAAAATTGTCCTGCTCGGCGACCAGAGCGTCGGTAAGACCAGCCTGATCACCAGGTAAGCTAACATTGTTCGATTGCTCAGCTCAGGAGTAAGTGCTAATTGCCTTGGCGTCTAGATTCATGTATGATACCTTTGATAACACGTATCAGGCCACTATTGGCATCGACTTCCTAAGCAAGACCATGTACCTCGAAGACAGGACTGTGAGGTTACAGCTATGGGATACAGCTGGTCAGGTACGCCGCGGCTCCGAACCATCGCAGTCAGATGCTGAGCTTCAGGCGTAGGAACGGTTCCGCTCACTAATACCGTCGTATATTCGCGATTCATCCGTGGCCATAGTCGTCTTCGATATCACAAGTCCGTTCTGACACAACTCCGGTGTGCCGCGTGATTAACAGAAACCCCACAAATACAGATCGCCAGTCATTCCTATCGACAACGAAATGGATAGACGATGTTAGGTCGGAACGAGGGAACGATGTGATCATTGTTCTAGTGGGGAACAAGGCTGATCTTTCGGATAAACGGTATATTCTCCTGCATCTATGTGTGAAATTCTGACACTAATGGATGAGCAGGCAAGTGACTCTAGAGGAGGCTACCGCCAAATCAACCCAATTAGGCATCATGTTCATGGAGACCTCTGCAAAAGCTGGTCATAATGTCAAGAGCTTGTTCAAGAAGATCGCTATGTCATTACCGGGGATGGAGAAGGAAGGCCAAGCGGAAGCAAATACAAGTACGTCGTTATGCCCTCTTTATGCGTCCCGAGAAAGCATTGAACTCATCTTAATAGAAATTGACGTCACTACACCAGTGACAGGTGAACCCCCTGAAGCATCGCAATGTAACTGCTAAGTTACTGTACCTCTCTATGCGCTCATGCGTGCATATCATGACACATTACATATATACCAGCCATCCTCATACAGGTCTCACTTCTGCTCCTGGATTGTTCTTTTAGTGTACAGAAAACTATTCTGTCGATTGCATCGACATCAGGGAAATCAGAAGTCCTGCAGTAAACGGGACGTCGGCACATCGCTATAAATCATCGAAATATAGCTTCATGTCATCCTCGATTCATCGTGTTACCTGCTCCCTTAGGATTCTCATCCGTAAATCTGGCCCAATTCTCGTCCTTCAACCTCTTTGCCTCGGCCTTATCCTCACCATCCCTCGTCCCATCCATCTCCGACTCAAGCTCGAGCTGCTCCGACGAGGTCGGCTCAGCTTCCGACGCAGGCCTGAGGTAATATGAAATGAAAAGCTATAAAATGGGTTTGGGAATCTCAACGCACCCGCCACCTGTGATTATATTGCCGCGCTCGCGCTCGATTTGAAGATACTCGTCGATAGACATAGTCGGTAATCTATGTCCAGGACCAAACACCTGTGCTTGGATCCGTGCACGATCAGCGGCAGCTGAAGGAAGGATCGTAAACGGTCGGAGGGGCTAGGTCCAGGTAAGCAGGTGAATCGTCTGGTGGCTCGAAAGTGTGTTACCTTTCCAGAAGGGTCCAAGAGTGGTCCTTTCCCATCAGGTCCCAAGTTCTGCCGTGGTGCATCGAGTTTCCACATATCACTGTCACTTTCTCGGCCTTTACCCCTGCGGTCGGCAGTTTCTTCACGTGCGTCGCGAGGTGGAGAAGGTGGTGCAGTCAGCAGAAGCTCAAGCTCTTGATCCATGCTCTCAAGTTGGGAGTGTGACTGGGCATAAGAGAGACGCAGCAATAATAGCGTCGCTTCGCGAAGAATGTCGTCCGTATCAGAGTCGGGCTCATCATCGTCATTTGATGCGGATTTAGAAGGCGTGGTGGATGGTAAGAGAGAAGCTATCAAGGCAAAATCTGTAGGCGTGCTGTCTGACAATGGAACTTGACCTCTCCGTTTGCGTACGGCCTGTATGATAAGGGTTTAGCAATGCCCACGAAGGTTCGCTGCACAACATTCACCTCAATTCTGGCCCGCAGGTCCTTTTCTTTCTTATAATGCTTAATCTTGAGTTCGCGCCGTGTCGCCGGATCCGTTACTGTGGATGCCTTCCGATGGTGTAGAGCCCGTTCTTCTTCGGGCACGATCTCGTAGTTGTCCAGATAAGATAGAAAACTCCTTAGATCTTTCTATAACACTGAATCAATCTCGAACCATTTCCAGGTGCTCCGCGTCGTACCTGTGTCTGTTTCAGGATCGACATTCGCTCTTCCCTTTCTATGGTCATGACGCGTCCTCGGACCAATGACTGGACATAGGGAACGAGTAGATACACCAGATCCGTGGTGGATATATCCTCGAGGATTTCATTCGGGCTGAATAACGAGAGGCCCGCGATGCGAGAGTTTAGCGTCGTGAGGTCCGTCAGACTGGACCGTACAAGTTCCTGCTCAAGTCTACATTAGCTAGTGTTGGGTGATTCAGTGATCAGACTCATACCTGGGTCGAGTCATCTGTCGTTGGGAGCTCTGAAGCTCTGGATGCGCTGGAAAGGCTGCGAGAGAAAAGGGTAGGAAGTGGCACTGACATCGATCTGGGAAGAGTAAAACGTAATTTATTCTGTGAAATCTGGCCCTGGATAAAGATGAACAACTACGTCTTACACATATATGGCAAAAAGCGACACCAGCAGGATTTGAACCTGCGCCCTCAAAGAGGAACAGATAGCGTGGAATTCGAATCTGTCGCCGTAACCACTTGGCTATAGTGCCTGTACGTATTGGTCTTTCCAAGCTTTCTAATATTTTAATATTCTTTGGTCGTTTTCAAGTTTACATCCATAAGATGTTGCATCAAAGCGCGCGTTGTTCATGACTTAGGAAGTAAGATATGCCTGTACAAATTCCTTCAAGTCCTCCGCCTTGTCTTCGCTTCCTCCCTTGCCACCCTCAGTCCAAGTTTGTACAAGAGCTTCCTTCACAAGTAGAATGTCACCGAAGACATCATTATTTGTAGGGTATACCTGGAAGGGAGTGAGTAATGTCCTAGGATGTCTAGATATTTAGAACAGACCATTTTGGAGCTGTTACGAGCCAGTCAGTGAGGAGACAAATAGCAGACTTTTCAACTCACCCTCTGGAATTCGTCGTATGCTGTGCTGCGAACATTCTCGTGCGCATTCCGAATAATTCCCATCATGAATTCAGCTGCTTGTCTCTCGTTTAATCCAAGAGCAAATCGGTCTCGGAGTCTTTTGATGGTCGGCTCTCCCTTGAAAGATGGTAGACCGGTATCAAGCATCAGTTGCACTGTGCTTATCAGTTGCTCAGCATGGGGCCGGATTGCGAGGAATGCCTTGACGGTGAGGTTCTGGAAAAGTTGGTAGCCTTGTGAGTAACGTCCTCCCATCAAGACCACCATTTCATGGTTGAGCTTGAAAGAATTTGGCTCGAATTTCACCCCCTAAGAAGAACATTAGATACACTGAAAAAGCCGACAGAGCATGACGCACCCCTGGTCGTAAACGCGGGAAAGTCCGTCAGAAAAAGGAATACGAAGAAAATTAAGGACCACATATCTATGTCGAACAAAAAGCCAAAATCTGCTTTACAGTAAACAAGCGTTAAGTAAGACAAGAGTGTTGTGAACATACCAATGTGTACGATATGACCGTCGCCGTCGATCATGATGTTGCCGTTGTGCCTGTCCTTGATTTGCAGGATGTAACAAGCAACAGAGTATGCTGCCATGGATTGTATAAAGTTGAGGCGAGCTTTCTGGAACGCAACTGTGTCTTGTCCTCCGTATTTGGCAACGAAGAAATCGAGCAAGTCGTTGACTTTCGCGCGACCCATCTCGTCCCGAGATGTTGCGTTTGGCACGACGTCGATGACACCGCACTACAGATAATGTCAATGGACAATCGAAAAGAGGTGAAAATGGAAACTACTGACGCCTGGTCCTGTTGCAGTCACTCGATAAGGAAAGAGGTAGAGTGTAAGTCCAACGCTAGTGAAGATATTTTTGAACATCGCGATGACTTGTAGAGCAAGCACGTCTTGTCGACAGTCGTCGCCCACTTTGAAAATCGCTTGTTGCCAGACATCGTATTCTGTACGGGTCTCCGTGCCTGGCCCCTCAACATCCAATATCGATTCTGGATCCGTATCGACCACAATGCGCTCCTTCCTAACCTTGAAGGTCGCCATGAAGGGAGCCTATCCACTCATGGTAGATGCACGCGCATCAGAAGAATAGTGTACCGTACCTTAGCATGGCTCTGAAGCGGCCTTCCAGACTTCTTATCGATATCAACTACTTTGCCGTCAGGATTGCTTGGTAGATAAACTCCGACGTCAACATTGATTTTAGCCATCTCTTCATCGATTTTCGCCTGCCACTCAGTCAGAAAACGAGCGCGTAAGCACGTGATAAAACTTTTACCTTTTTCTCTGGCTTCGGCCTCTTAATGTAGGGCTTGAGTTTCCCAGAAATAGAAGTGACTTCGTTGAAGAACGTGAATTCCCGATTGTAGAAGTCCCTGGCGTCGCCCGAGAGTGAATCCACCACTCTCTCTATCATGTCATCCAGACTTGGCTTCATAGGATCCTCCTGAATCAAGGTGAGAAGTGCTCGATAATGTTCACAGTTATACTCACGATTTCGGCTGAATCATCCTTGTAGCAATTGGCTTTCATGTTCCAGATAATTTGGTGGCAGAACAGTTGGGATATCTTTGCAGTCTCGAATATGAATCGGGCCACATAACCTAACTCCGGGGTAAGCTAGGATGCAATGGCCTAGATAAAGACATACCAAGTTGGTCGTAGCGAAGGGCTTGAACGACTTGGGGAACAAAGAAGAATGTCAGTTCGACCGGATGTTGCTCCAGCACTCGATGCGCGTATTGGAGAACCAATGGGTCGTTGTTGTACCTGGGCTCGAAGAATGTGTTGGCGATGACCGGTGGAACAGGAGCCCAGAGGAGAAGATACTTGCTAGAGGTCAGAAATGGCAGTGATTGGAGTGTGGCCATTACCTTCAGATCCCTGCGCACATGCGGATCCAGTCTGTCGCCAACGAAGTAGAGTAAGGCCTCTGGAACGTCGAGAACTTCAAGAGGGCTTGAGCGGACCGCCTTGGTCACTTCATTGCGGACAGTAGGACTCTTAAATCGTTCTGGAAGGTGTACAACGATTGCGGGATCGATCTGCCACACGGTGCGGAGGACGCTAGGCCAGGAGGCCTATGCAAGTGTTAACTCCACAACCCAAAAGCAAAGAGTTTGAGATCACCTCAAGCATTGTCGAAGCAACAGTACCGATCTGGTCGCCACCTCGTTTAGGATCATTCGTCGGATTCGCCCAGACAGCCAATCTGGTCATTTCATTCTCTGTGAGGAGCCGTAAAGGCTGATTGATATTACGAAGCCTGTTCGAGTAATCTAAGGGAAAACAATAATTAGTGCGAAATCACGTCGGCTCAATTTACGCTCACAAGTGCCACGCGCTGGTAACTGTGCTGGGGATAAACTTGATATTTCGGTTGTGTCTCGGATCGTATCGGTTTGTAGACAAGATAGGAACTCCGCCAGAACTTTTACATCGGCGTCCACTTGAACGCGGTTGGCACCATATGACCATCTTCGGACCAAGTCAGGCGACGAAAAGTCAAAAATGTGTATGCTCTTACTGAGGGCGAACTGAGAACCAAGAGAAAGCCACAGAGTAGAGACTTTCTCGTAACAGGCTTTCCGAGTGTGGATCCAGATGAGAGCTCTTGAGGGTTTCAAATCCGAACAGAAGGAGGGAGAAGCGGGCTTCACGGGCCAAGGCATGAGTGCTAAATGCATGGGCCCATCAGAGACACATGAAGCATGAAGCGTGCGCGCCTACCTCAATAACCGATGAGCAATTGCAGATCGTAATACCAAATGTTGAATGAGAAACATCATTTCCGGCCGACGATACCGGGCAGCTTGTAATCGGCTCAGAAGCATTTGAATAACAAGCGCATGGGGAGTAAGCATGCGACGAGCATTTGCCGTTCCTCTGTCGATAATTTCCTTATCTGTAGGACTGTAACCGATTGGATGGTCAAAGGGATCATCATAGCTGTAGTGGCGTAAGATATGTGATGTGCATTTCGTAAGAGTAAGAACACACTTGAGCGATGTCGAGAACAAGCCCCTCTCCTGTCTGATTGTGTCTGACCACGCAGATAAGACCTCCGTCATTAACGCGACTTCCACTCCGGGCTTTTCTGAGATGACCCAGGTCCATACTTCAATACCACCAGCTATCGCAGAGGGAGTGGCCACTTCGAAAGGTAATGCCACGAGATGGTGGAGGAGGTCATGGTCAGTCTAGGACACAGTAAGATAAGATGTGTGATCGCAACGAAGATAACATTCACCTCCTCCAGGGATAATAGTGTTGCGGCAGACCGGAACAAGAGCCTTTTCAACTCCTGGACTGTGAGGGGGGTGTTCTTGTTGCGCACTTCCTCGGTAGTACGAGATAGTTTCGCCTTTAAAGCCTGTATTTCGGTCAAGGGAGCGGATTGAGGAGGCAATTTGTCTAGCTTGTCGGGGCCTATAGAGATGGATTCATTGACACATACAGATACTGACTGCCTGGAGAGAACTGACCATGATGACACGCCAAACGAACTCCTGTCGCCTCACCTGCGAAGTAACTTTTGATAGCGATCTGGTTTGCAAGATTTTTCGCGCCGTCAGTTTTCCATTGCGAGAGATTAGCCAGGCAAGCTGTTAGATGCGGTGAACAACCGTCACTGCACGTTGGATGAGGACTAACTGAGTTGGCGTTGTACGGGACCGATGGCCTTGCCAAAGTGCTCTGCAACTGAAGCGCCTAACTCTGAGGAATGACCCCCTGTAGTAGATTGACTGGCGGCGATATATTTCTAGCGGTCGCCTTGAGTATAAACTATCGAAAGTGAGATTGTTTGCAAACCTGAAGTGTGGATTGTAGTTCAATCGGGGCACGCGCCAGAGCGAGTTCGAACCAACTATTGGCACTGCGATGTAATTGACCGAGAATCTCATTTCGCTTTTGATAATCATCGGTTAACTGCAGAGTAATCCCAGCTCTCTCAGAGTGAAATTCATAAACAGGATTATACTGCAGGGAACGTGTGAATTGATGGCAGCACTGCATGGAAGAATGAAATACCTCGTCGAGGAACTCATTTTCGCAAGCTTGACGAAGCAATGTGAGGACTTCGAGGATCGCAAATACAAGTGGTGGGTCACACATGAGTGACGGGAAAGATGTTATCAGGCGATTCAGGTATTTGGAAGCAATATCTCTAGCTTTCTCGATCCGGTGGGTGCTGTAGACCAGAAGAGCACGCAGCTCCGACGAGAGATTGTTAGGCAACATTTGTCGGGATGCTTGTGAGTTCAAGTCGTTGATACAGCCACGAATCACCTATTGTAGAGTCACATGAGGGTCCAGGGTCAAAATTCGATCATTGGCCCACCTTCTCAGCGACTGATTCCATACAGGCAGAAAGCGTTGGATGTTTGTTGATACTTTCGTTTGTGAAATGTCCAACAAGGGACGATGTCAACCCCGCGGCAGATCTCATACTCTCCATATCGTGCATCGTGAGCACGAATATTATTTGACCAGATGAGAGGTAGCGAATATCTCCTGCACGCAAGGATATGTGTGCCGTCAAGGATGCTTTGTGTTTGGAAATTACCTGCTCATACAACGTCAAAACCTGAAGGGAATCATCTAAG